AAGTAGCAGACTTGAAATAAATGTTGCAGAGGAGATGGAGAAATAGGAAAACTCATATGTTGCTGGAATCTGTGGACATAGCCATAGTCATGAAGTGCTGGTAAATGTCAACATGCTAGATTTTTAGTCATTTTTAGTAAAATGGATGCACTTTGGAACTATAAAAATGTAATAAAGCAGACACACAACCATAAATATCACATAATTTCTTTTATATGAGAAAACCCAAATTATAAATAAAGAGTAAAATAAAAGATTATGGAAGTAGGGAGAAAGATTTTTCTCAAATAGGAAGGGGATTGAGAGATAGAAGGAGGAGGAGTGGAGGGAGACAAAAGGAGTGAAAAAGAATTAAGATATGTTATATACCCGTACGAGAAACCAAGAAATGTAAACAGTAGGCAGTGTAAACATGTTCCACTAAAAATTAAAGAAAAATAAAGAGATTGGGTGGTATTATTTGTTCAAATATCAGTCAGATTAATATTCACCAGAATGCTATTAGGAGTTAGCATGAGTTAAGTGGTTGTACTTTAGGAACTGTTAAGAATGCACACACATTTTAGTAAATTTACTTTCATTTTAGTTTGGTTGACATGGGATAATCTTATAGGTCTGTGGGATGCTGTGTAGTGTTTCACATATGAACACAGATTGCCCTGGTTACACACAGCCTTCTTTTACCCATCCAACCTCCCACCTTCCAGCTCTGTAGTTTCCATTCTGTCTCTAAAAGAACCACATATTGTCCCTCATATGTGGAAGCTAGAAAACATCAATATATTGAATGTTCTCAATAACTGAGAGTGCTGAAGCCAAAGACCACTTTCTAATAATTCTGTTAATAGAAAGGAAGCTAACAGGTCAATCTCTTAAAATCCATAAAATTAAAAGTTAATCATATTTAACCATATATAATCATATGGTATGATTTCTATGACATAATTTTTTGTACAAATGGAGCCTATTAGCTTAAAAATGCAAATATTTAAAATGTACTGTAATTCATAAATTTACAGCACCATTTTTTGTGCAAATAAGACAATTATTGAATTTAGGATACCAATCACAGCTAAGTTCACTTAATATATTTTGAAAAATGTTTCAAAGTAGTTCAAAAAACATTGAAGACAAAAACTTTTGAAGTTATGAGACAGTTTTGTTAAAGGATTTTGGAGTATTGGTGGTGATATTTTGAATGGTTTTCAAAGAGCACTTTCAACAAATCTGCAGGGATGAACTTGCCTCGGACTGTAGGTATAAGAGTTGGAATCAAAGAAAGGGCATAAAGCAAACAAAGTAATTATTTTTTTATGCCTTCTACCACTCTCAAATCAGAATAAATTGAGTAGAAGGAAATGTCCAGATAACGAAGACAATCCCTTCTTTCTCTGTGCACATGGAATACCTCTGTCCAAGCACCTTGGCCTGTGATGAGCAGAGGGGCCATTGTCCTCCTGGGACAGCAGTGCAACATCCTGTGGGAGGCATTCCTGAGAAGCAATTCCAGCCAAGACAACTCCTTGAAGGACACCAATCATCTCTTTGGGATTTGCTCTCCCCACGGGCCCAGTCAAAGAATCCAGGTCCCATTCTTCTTTGCTTCCATGAAGGCTCCATTTGCTCTGACCTAAAGATGGTCCCATGGCATGTGGAATGCTCAAGTAAGCTTCTCCTTCTGGCTCCAAAAAAACACTTTTAGCAGACTCTGGGTTTCTCTTCTGCAGCAAAGTTGATCACAGTTGTTTTGAGACTCTGCTTTCCTCACTGGATGTGGCAGAACCAAATCTAGAGTTAAGCTGGGGTGTATGCTGGTGACTTCCAGGGGATGCACACTACCCATCAGGTTGTCACCACAGGATAAGAGACAGACAAGGAGACAACACTGGGACTGTGGACAGACAAGAAAATTCTGAGGCCAAAGGGGAAGTCAAGTTTTGGTTAAGTACCAGGTAAGAGTGTGAAAGAACTAATGTGATCAAGATCAAAAAGTTGTGTCCAGGGATGAGAAGTGAGGAAGAGCAGTTACTTCTCTCCACAGTGCTGATTTCTGAGCCTAAAGAGAATAATTTACTCACAGCCCATAAAGGTAATCTTATTTCTGATGCCCTCCAACAAGAATGAAACTAATCCACAAAAGCCCTACATGTTTCTCCTTGGCTGTGGTAATTTTTGGACTTTATCTGAGATCCCTTTCTGAGCTCTCTTCATATTAATGTTAATGATGGTCCCAGCTACATCACAGGCCATTCTAGTGGCCAACTTGTTTCAGTCACAGCGATAATCGGTTGGGTAGGAAGCAAACAATTCTCCACATGAGGAAGAAATTACAGCCATTATTTCTCAAGACTTATTGTTTCCCTTTCTAAGAAATTTCTGGAAAATTACCATTATCTTTCAAATGGCACTGACCTCTAGTAAGGGAATACTCATAGTTTACTATTTTAAAAGTGTTACATTTTGGATTCAGCTATAACTTTCAAGAGAGATCTTGTTTTAAAATGTACTGAATGATTATCCTAGATGTTTGTAGACATCAGTCTATATTTGTGTAATGCCTGGTTAATGATTTTTCACCTTATTAATACACTGATTCCAGGTCTGAATCAATCCTAGAGCCTTGGAGCTAGAATGAATGGTCCCAATCCTTCTGCTGAAATCAGCCAATTCTCCGAGACTGCCATCTTTTATGCCTTTTATTCATTGCACTTACAAAATATGTAAAATTAATAGACCCCCAAAGAGGAAACTACAAGCATCACTGTGATTTACTTCAACCCATGCCATTGCTAATTGGAAAGAAGCATGGTCAAAGGCACTGGTCATGAGAGGAGTGCAGAAGGAGAATGTGGAAAACACAGAGGAGGCAAAGAATTCAGTGAAAAGGTGTATTGAAGTGGTGACTCACTAGGCTCACTGTGCATGGCCACAATAACTGTATAACAAAAGAGAATGTAATCTTTCCAATGGAAGATTGAAAACACACAGGAGAAAAAGAATACCTGAAGCACAACAGTTTGTGAAATATAATTTATATTTTCTCTAGAAAAGTCACTTTAAGACACATTAGGAAAAAAATATATGTTTAGTTGTTTCGTTAAATATCCATGTCCTTCTTTAAACTGTGTAATCAAAAATCTGCAGTAATCATGACTGGTGATTAGAATTTGCATGGTGAGCTAGTTACTGTCGGCAGCAAAGGACACTCTGTACCTTTGCCCATAGCCTGGCCCAGCCTCCCCTGTGATGTGCACTGTCCTCTCCTCTGTCCTGCCCCACACAGCACCTTTCTCCTTTGTGCCTTCACTACATTGTCATCTTATTTTTCTTAAAATCCGTTCCTTTAGATTCAATTATATTGCCACCTATTTAAGAAGTACCCTCTTATTTCCATATTTCCAGCTTTTTATACCATTAATGCTCACAAGTTGATGCACATGTGAATGTGTGCATTTTTGTTGGTATCTCTATGGTTTACTCTTCAGGGAGAAAAAAAAAACTTGGCAAGTAAACAAAAGAGAAGATAAAGATCTTTCTACAGATATGTCTAATTGGATCTAAATGTATTTCATCCTACACAAACATTTTTAAACACATTAAATTTTATATTCTTCCTCTTATCTTTTCATCTGTGTGCATAGTTACTGATATTATAATTGGTATTCCTTCTGTCATCTAAGAGGAAATAAAACTAAAAAGAAAACAGAAGTTACTCACTTAAAAGAAGACTGTTTCCTGGAAGGTGCCTTCTGGGGCTGGGTCAGGTTTTCTCAGTTCCCCTTTACTGCACTGTTGCACCCTAGAATGAATGAGAAGCACTGAACAGTAAAGAAGAAAAAGGCCAAAATCTGGCTGAAATATAAAATCACTTTGTACTTTATTTTGACAATTTTTATTATGGAAAATTTTCAAGCTTACAGAACAATGGCAAAGAAGCAGGACAGAGTCCTGCAGTTCTCCCTGTATGCGGTGTGTGCCCCAGCAAACACCACTTCCTGTGTCAGAGTCTTGTCATCTAACTTTCCATCTGCTCACCTCTCTCTCCACTACATAACTTTTCTGGAGGATTTAAGAGTAAGTTAGAGACACTGTGCATGTGACTCTTGAAAACTTCTATTTATGTTTAGGAATGAGAACAGTGTTTTAAAAAAAATCTGAAGCCATCAAATTCAGCAAAATTATTATGGGCGCAATGTTGTCAGCTCATCAACAACGTGTGTTCAGGTTTCTCCAGATGCCTTAATCATTTCTCAATAGCTATTTATAGCTATTTCTTCAAGTGCATGATCACACATTTAGACACTGTGTTCATTGGTCTCCTTCAGCATATACCACTTTCTCAGTATTCATTGCTAGACTGACCTCAACATTTTTGAAGCAAGTAGGGGAGACATTTTGTCTCAGCTTGAGTTTGTTTCAGGCGTCCTCACTTTTACAGTGAAGCTGTGCAGTGCAGCTGAAATATCACTAAAGTGGCCCCTGTCTGTGGAGAGCTTCAGCTCACCAGCCCATAGTCCTGGTTTGTCTCAAATCTAGAATGTTAACATTTAACCACCACTTCGTGACTACGGCTGTGTCCACAGGTTCCTCAATGGAAAAGTTCACCACTTTTCTCTTTGCAACAAGTCAGTAACTCAGAGGGAGACATTCTAAACTGCATAAACAACAAATTTCTCATCAAAATTTTCTTCACTAGTTTTGCATCCATTTATGTCTAATTCCATCATCAGCTTTATATTTATTAGGCATTTACTATAAGGGATAGTATTATCCTCACTGTTATTTATTCTTTTTTTATATCATAAGAGCATGAAAGTTCTTGTGTTGGTCACTAGATTGTTCTAATATTTTCTTTTAATGCTTAAACTTCATAGGATTGAAAACTGGCTGGCCTTCAAGACTGACATTTATTTCTTTTACTTACATCTGCATAAATATTGGAGCATTTCCTTACTTCGGTTGACTTGATGTTATATTTTTCTCAAATAACATCAACGATAATGCATAATAACATCAATGCTACTTTTGAAGGCTACTTTATCCTGCTGGGCTTCTCCAGGTGGCCTCACCTAGAATTCATTCTCTTTGTGGTGATCTTGATCTTCTACTTGATGACACTGTTAGGCAACCTGTTCATCATTGTCCTGTCACACCTGGACACCCGTCTCCACACTCCCATGTACTTCTTCCTCTCAAACCTCTCCTTCTTGGATCTCTGCTACACCACCAGCTGCATCCCCCAGTTGCTGGTCAACCTCTGGGGTCAGGAGAAGACCATCTCTTTTGCTGGGTGCATGATTCAACTCTACTTTGTCCTAGCCCTGGGAACAACTGAGTGTGTCCTGTTGGTGGTGATGGCCTATGACCGCTATGCAGCTGTGTGCAGACCCTTGCACTACACTGTTCTCATGCCCCCTCGTTTATGCCACCTGTTGGCTGTGACCTCTTGGGCAAGTGGCTTTACTAACTCAGCACTTCATTCCCTCTGTACCTTTTGGATACCCTTGTGTGAACATCACCTAGTGAATCATTTTTTCTGTGAAGTTCCAGCCCTCCTGAGATTATCCTGTGTGCGTACTCATGCTAATGAGCTGACCCTCCTGGTCACCAGCTTTATTTTTGTTGTAATTCCCCTCCTTCTCATTCTGACCTCTTATGGTGCTATCACCTGGGCTGTGCTGAGGATGCCATCAAAAAGTGGGCTTCAGAAAGCCTTTGGAACATGTGGAGCCCATCTCATGGTTGTCTCCCTCTTTTTCATCTCAGCTATGTGCATATATCTGCAGCCTCCAACAGAAAGTTCTCAAGATCGAAGCAAGTTCATTGCCCTAATTTACACAGTGGTCACACCCAGCCTGAACCCTCTAATCTACACCCTCAGAAACAAAGATGTGAAGAGGGCAGTGAAGAGACTGTTGGGGCAAGAGTAGCCTGAATCCTTGCGATGTTGACAGTGAAATTGTTCATCTCTCCACCTGTTCATCCATTCAGTGACACTTCACTCACTCAGCACTTACAGAACACAGGTATTTACTTCAGATAGAAACAAAGAACAGTATACCTAAACATTATTCACATTTGGAGAATACAGCCATTTAAGAGGAAGATCGAATATCACATTACTTTTTTCCACATCATAATTTTAATGAAACTTCTAGTCCTAGTTCTTTGAGGCATCTCCACATGATATCCACAGTGGTCAAGCAGTCTGCACTCCCACCAACAATGAAGAAGGGTTCCTTTCTCCCCACACCCTCACCAACATTTGTTATTGTGTGATTTCTTGATAGCAGCCATTCTTTCTGTGATGAGGTGCAATCTCAGTGTTGTTTCACCTGCATCTCTTGAATGAACAGTGATTTGGAACTTTTTGCATATATTTATTTGCTGGTTTTACTTCTTTTGTCTGAGAAATGTCTGTTCATTTCATTTGACCCAACTATCCCTCTTCTGGGTATATTTCCAAAATAATTAAAAGAATCATATTACAGTGATTTATGCATACCCATGTTTATAGCACCATTGTTTTTAAAAGCTAAAAGCTGGAAACAGCCCAATTGCTCACCAGTTGGAGACTGGATAAAGATGTGGTTTTTTTTTCTATAAAACGGAATACTACTCAGCCATAAAGAATGAGAAACTAGAGTCATTCATAGGAAAGTGGATGTATATTGAGGCCATACTCTTCAGTGGATTAAATAAGACCAACATGTAAATATTGAATAGTTTCTCTGGTGTGAAAAACTAAAAGTGTACAAAAGATCCAAAGTGTATAATTGACAATGTGAAATAGGAAGAAAAGGGCCAAAGGTGTAGGGGAAGTGGGAAGGGTAGGAGAAAGGAAATAAGGGGAAAGAAAAAATATGAGAAAACGAAGTGATGGAGACAAAGTCTTTTTAAATAGGGAACATTGGAGGAGGTTAAAAGAGAGGGTAGGGGTGTGGGGAAGAAGTGAGAACCTGGGTACATCATGTAAAGGAGCAGGATCTGAATGATAAATATAACTGTAATGTATACTTAAAAAGTACCAATAAACTCAATGAGAAAAAATAATAATAATTTTAATGAATCTAAATCCTTTCTTTGAGAATGATGTATGGGGTTTGTGTAAATATTGATAAAATAGCAATCTATATTTTCTATGTAAACATGACATGATGAGTTTAAAGATCTCTAAAATGCATCTTTAATTTCTTTGTAGGCGGAATACTTCTGTTTCATCTCTTTGCCTTACTATTTAAAGATGTCATGAAATAACTGAAGTATTTTTCTCTAACACTGCAATTCTTTGTTGAATAGTAAGTATTGGGGGGAAATTTTCTTATATATATATATATTTTTTTTTACCTGTAGCAAAACACACCTTGGTTTTATGCAGGAGAGTGCCTCCCTCTGCTTTTGCAAGGCAGTGGGAGAAGTGCAGATGGAAGGTGAGAATTACATGGTGGTCATCGGATGTGTAGCTTGTCAGGGGAGGTGGCCGACATCTGAAGCCCCTTCACAGCCTGCAGTCTGGGATTTCGTGAGGCAGGTGGAGAGCTCCAGCCAAAAGTGACTTTAGGCCAATAGGTCTTTAAATTATCATCACAGCTTTGTGCTTGATTGCTTTGAAAGTCCTCCAAATTGGTGCTTGAGATATTTTGATAGGAGCATTTTGTCCTGATGCTGGTTGTTTACTTGAGTCTCAGAGCTCTAGCTAGGACTTGTCAGGGTCAATTGCCCTGTGACCTGCAGCCCTTCAGACAAGCATTTGTTTGGTGCTTCTTGTTTTCCATAACATCCACCTCCTGGAAACAGTTCCTGAGCACCAAGAAACCACTGCACCTGAAAATAGTATACTCAATACAATTTAGGATAAAGGCTGTTATGTGTAAAATGTTACTTTTCTCTTTTATCTAATTTGAATATTTGTGGCAAGTAAATACAATCACGAAAGTCAACTTGTGTGTTTTCAAAAAGAAGAAACATATTTTTATGAAAGTTTTGCCATATATTTTATTGTCATCTTGCTCCATCTGAAATAGGAAAACTCCATTCTACCTCATATCTATCAATCCTATCACCTAGATTGAAGGAAAAACCCAACATACAGTGACATCTTGACAATACTTGAATTTTGCCTGTTTGTCAAATGTCAAGTGTATTCTGTAAGACTTGGCTATGATTAATAAAGCCTATATTATAAAATTTACACCCCAAATGTCTTGTCCATTTACTATTTGGGTAGAATTTAACTGGTTCTGCTCCCTTGTCCCTGTTCTGTGTCAGGGAAATCTCTAGTGAGGTGAAGGCTGTAGTGTGGGTGCTATACCTTGGGCATGGACCTGATAGCCAAGAAATGAAGAAGCAAGTGTATATGGACACTTTAGTAATAATTAGCACTAGACAGAGAGAAACAGAACATGAAAACAAACTCTTTAATATAAGAACACAGCTCACTACTTTGAACCATCTTAATCTGTGGAAATCTCAGTTTTGGGTAACTGTAGCATTCTCACCTCTCATCATGAAATTTTTTTCCTCTAACTTACTCTTACTAAGATATAGTTGACAAAAATGAAATGTATTGATCATGTACAATATGATGCTTTATATTTACATATATTATGAATTTATTTATTTAAATCAATTAACAACCCAGAATCACCAACACACATCTGTAACCCTGACCTTTGGAAAGCTGAATCAGAAAAATTCCAAGAGATTAAAAAGTGGGCTTAGGCTGAGGCTCAGTGAGAAGACCCTGGATTCAATCTTCAGTGTGGCAAGAAAGAAAATCAATCAACATATTCATGACTAGATCATAATGATAGACATGTTCTTAATTTTTAAACACATCTTGTGAAGGGTATAAAGATCCCCCAGACAGTGGGGATCTTCTTTTCTCCACATCTTTGACAACACTTGTTTCCTTTGGTACTTTTAGTAATAGAATGTGAACAATGTGACTCTGTGACCTATGGGGCTGCATGTTCAGAATAAGATAAGATGATGTCCAGTTTGAACAAGGATTTAGTCACTGGAAGACGTATTGAATTCCTTTGAATAAATAGCCATTGTCAAAACTACAAAATGTCCAAGAAGTAAACAAGAAAACCCAATTTAAATAGCAATAAAATAAGATTAAGGTGAACATTCTTCTTCAGGAAAGATCAAGGATTAGATGACAAACTGGACAGTGAACAGAAGATATTTGAATTCTTGTAGTAAGAACTAAATTATATGTCAGGCTGAGTCTTTGGAAATCAAGAAAGAGGGACAGAGGAGTGCTTAAACATAGAGAAACAAAAGTTGATACAGAGAAAAGAATGAGGCTCTGCGCAATGCCAGCCTGTGTCCTTCCTACATCTGCTGCTTTAACGGCAGCCCCTGATGTGTTGCTTTCAGTGAATGGGGAAATTAGAAAACTTTTTCATATTAGAAAAACATGAAATGAAACTATAAATGGTCAAAATGTATGAGATGCAGCTAAATTCATGCTTAAAAGGAAATTTATAGCTTTAATTGTGTTAAAAGCTAAAGACTCTCTGATAAGATTGAATTAATTTTCCCCTTAAAAACCTGATTGTGTCTCTGGATATAGTGATAGAGTGGTGATCAGGTGGTGTGAGAACTGGGATACGTCCCTAAAACAGGAGCAATATAAAGCTAAAAAATAAAGATTAAGTTAAACTCAAAATCAGGACAATAAATATTTCTTGTAGTAGAAAATGTGAAGATAATAGCTCTTTGCTTATTTAAATATTATATTGAAGGAGACAGGCCCTTGCATCTCTGTGTACAACTAGGATCATTACACCTTTTGTATAGCATAAAGATCAGGAAAACATATCCTGAGTAAAACATTTTAAAAAAAAGAAAATTGGATCTGGACTCAAAAATAATTGTCTCAATTTTTTTCTGTATATATGCCAGAAAAGTTTTAAATAGATGGGGTTTTCTGGAGATTTTGTCTTTAGATACATTTTACACAACAGTTGCCAAAATGTATTTCATTTTGTTGGAGCAAGAATGTTAGAGGGAAGTTTGCCCACAGGGAACTTCTATAAGTCTCTTGCCAAGAAAGGTCCACTGAGGTTTATAATCTCTTTAAGAGCAAATTCCCCTGGCTTTATAAGAGAGCTCCCTTAACTATTTTTTAAAATAGACTTCCACTTCTAAATACTTTGTGATCCATCAAATTAAATAAATGAATAACCATTAAGTACTTAAGTATGGTATGATATAACATCCCTGAATGCAGAGAGGGTTTCAATCATTAAGTAACACTGAATTCTGACCAAAAAAAAAAATATATATATATATACCAGAATTTCTTTTTGCAAAGGATAATACTACAAAAAATTAATATTGATTTTGTGTGTGTGTGTTGGGAATTGAACTCAGGGACTTTTAACTAAACTATATGCCAGCACTCCTTCTTCCCCTTATTTTTGCTTGGTTTTATTTTTATTTTCAAATTTTGAGATAAGGTCCTGGTAAGGCACCAAATTGCCCAGGGTAGGCTCAAATTTATAATCCTCCTGCCTCAGCCTCCAAGAGTGCTAAGGTTACCGGTGTGTGCCACCACACCAACTCAACATTGACTTAAGGTAAGTGTCTCATCTGGGTCATCCTGATCCAATAGATTCAAACTTTGCCCAGGTCCCTGTATACTGTGAGCTCTTTATGCAGTTTCGTATTAGAAAATGTATAATGTAAATAAATTGGCACTTTTAAAAAATAATTCACAACAATAAAATATTTTGAGAATAATCTAGGCGTACTGATTTCATTAGTGGGCACTTATAATAAAGAAATGTGTGCTAGCATAAATTCTTAAAGGCATTATCAGGTTCAAGCCAGAATTTGAGTAATTTAAGGAAACAGAAGGGGAGAATATTCAGTCCTCAGAATTCCAGCAGGGGAATAAGGACATTGCTAATATTTGGACCTGAGGAAAAAGTGTGTACCAGATATAGACTGACAATAAAACCCAGCACTGCTTTTCATGAAAACATGCAGCCCAGCATGAAGTGTTGCACTTGCGAGAGTGTGGTCACACTCCTCAGCTAATTAGCTGTCTCAGCAAGGTCAGCAGGGAACTTCTGCATAAAGAGGCTGTTCCTAGGAAGTGTATGTATTAACAATGTGCTGGGTCTGGTTTTCTGATTTTACATCCTGTGTACTACTACACCAGTGTTTTGAAACTTTGTCATTACTTAATTCAGATCTCACAAGTACACATAACTCATATTTATAATGTAAATAAATAAAATAATTTGATAAAATAATGTAGCTGTTAAAATGGACAGTACAACTCACAATATGTACAACTCACAATATGCAAAATACAAATATACATTATACTATGCTGAGAAAGACTGATGCCTTCGGTAGCCTTTTACCTCTAAGCTTTGCAGTCAATCCCTGTCTTGGTTTTGAACCTCTGATTATATATTTCAATAAAGATTTCTTTTTACCTGTATGTTTCCTTTGATAACAAAACTTAAAATTGGCAGAAGCCAGTCTAGGCTTTGGGGAATAGATCTAAAGAACAGTGGTTTTGTTTGTTTGTTTGTTTGTTTGAAATCAGACCAACCCACACTGAGCTCAAGGAGTTCTGAACTCACCTAAATCAATTCATAACCTTCCCTAGAATGTGATGGAAGCCAAACCATGGTGGATGACATGGAATCTGGAGTAAGTCATCATGAATATTTCTTGGGCACTCTTTCAAATAACTAATTCATCCATTTCTCTCTTTACTGTGAGACCAACTCTGAGTTTCACTTTACCTACTTATTATTCTGTAAAACATTGCTATAATGCATCTCTTGGGTAAAATGTAGAGATTAGTCTTTCACTTAGCAGGACTACAAAAATAATGTTCAGACTGTTATTTTTTCATGCCTGCAAGTATCAAATCAGCTTTGTGAAGTTATGACACAGTAAAAATATTTTTATAACTCACTTTATTTTATTTAACTGGATAGGTTGGCTATCAGAAAAATTCAATACTAAAATATATGTCTTTACTTTAACACAAAATTTCCAAAAGGAGTGACATCAATCATGACTCTGGGCAATGCTAGTGCTCCAAAATTCTTCATTCTCCTGGGTTTCTCCAGCCATCCTTGGTTGGAAATGCCCCTCTTCATAGTGGTGCTCATTGCTTATATCTGCACACTAGTGGGAAATATCTCAATTATTGTGGTATGCAGGGTGGACCCTCACCTTGACAGTCCCATGTATTTCTTCCTTTCCAACCTCTCCTTCTTGGACCTGTGTTTTACCACAACCACCATCCCTCAGCTGCTGCTGAACCTGTGGGGCCCAGACAAGTCCATCAGTTATGGCGGCTGTGTGACCCAGTTCTACATATTTCATTTCCTGGGGGCCACGGAGTGCATACTCCTGGCTGTGATGTCCCTGGATCGTTACATTGCCATCTGCAAGCCCCTGAGGTACCCTGCTACCATGCACCAGCACCTCTGCATTCTCCTAGTGGCCATGGCATGGCTCAGTGGTTTGGCAAACTCCTTGCTGCAGTCATCCCTCACTGTCCAGCTGCCACTCTGTGGTAAAAACAAGGTGGACAACTTCCTTTGTGAGGTCCCTGTGATGATCAAGATGTCCTGTGCAGACACTACGTTCAATGTGGCTATGCTCTCCATCGTTGGGACATTCTATTCCTTGGTTCCTCTGTCACTTATCCTTGTTTCCTATGGGTTCATTTTAGCTTCTGTGCTTAGCATTCAGTCCTCAGAGGGGAAGAAGAAGGCCTTTAATACATGTGGTGCCCATGTCTTGGTTGTATCTCTCTTCTATGGGCCAGTAATTAGCATGTATGTACAGCCCTCCTCCACTAACTCCCAAGATAAGGACAAAATCATGTCCCTATTCTACAGTTTGGTGACTCCCATGCTTAATCCTTTTATCTACACTTTGAGAAACTCGGACATGAAAGGAGCGATGAAGAGGCTTCTCATGGTACTACACCAGCAGAGAACAGAACAAAGGTAACTCTTTTTTTTGTTGTTGTTACTCCATGCCTTTTCCATATGTGGCTCAAAAGATCCTCAGTTCTGGAATTATCTCTTGATTTAACCTCTTCCAACATTGCCAGCCTCCTATGTACATACACATTTGTGTACCATATTGCTGCGGTTCATTGGGTGCTATTTCAAATGTGAAAGCTAATCCGTTTGTCTAGTTAGTGTGAGTGAAAGCCATGCTATCCCATTGCTTTATGTCCAAAGAGCAGGCAATAAATAAATGCTTATTGATGGATGCAGCCTTTCAGCCTAGATATAACAAATGAAACCCTATGGTATATTTGTATTGTTTGGGTAAAAATACAAGTAATTTATATTGCAGCTTATCTTCTTGCTATTATGGATATGATGTGAGAGTTAATATTTCATATCAACTTTTTAGGAATTACCATCAAGGTCATTCAGTTGGTTAACATCTCATAATCTGGAACTGATTCTCTCAACCATACAACCACTGATCTTTAAGAGTGGGAAAATTCGAAACTCTTATCTGTCTTCCTACAAGTCTCAATGGGCTTTCTTGCTTTTGTGTTGTTATCTGAAGAAACTCTTTCCGTACTTCTAAAAAGAAAGGTTTATAAATAAAATCCTGAGAATCTTTCTTTATGTCCTTGGGTTGAGAGCCACTTAATTTTCATTGAGGAGCTAATTTACACAGAAAAAGGAAATTAGATGTATTTGATAGGTTAAAAAAATCTGAAATAGTCCAGTTCCTTGGGAATTAACATCAATTGTTATCAGATGAATTAATGGAGAAAGTAGAGGAAAGAAAAAGATTGTCTATCAGACCCTCATGTTTTATAGAGGTGAAGTAGAAAGACTGATGAAGCTTCAGAAAGGGGTATTCTGCTCATTTTATTAGTGATATCTAAGGCTCATTTTAAGTCAGATATGTTCACATAGTTTTCTATTTCACATTATTAATGATATCTGCATTTTTCAACTTGATGTGAAGCATATATTTTTTGGTTGTTCTAACAACTATACATTTCTTTATACAAACATTTCTTCGCACATCTCTCTATCCTTGATCTGTTTCACTACACATTTCCCAAATGCAAGAGCAAAATCTATTGGCTTATAGAGTACAAAGTTACACTGAGTCCAATCCATAGTTAATCATAACCAATTACTTCCCTCCTCAATCTGTGCTTTACGAATGACAATAAACCCGTCTCTATAGACGTGACGGTAAGGGTAGAATGGTTTCTGTCTTGTTGGGGACCTGTGTGTGCTGCTTCTCCGTGGTTCTGATCACGCCCGAAATGTACATTCCTTTAGAGGACTGCTCGTCTCTCCAGAGTGACCATGGGTTCTTTCATTCTTGTTTGGTTACCTGAATAGTGGAAAAAATGAGTGCTATAGAACAGATTTTATGTACTTTTAAAAATTGACAGTTGAATGATAAATATATTTTACTGTCCTCACTGCCTCCTGTAAAACCTGCATCAAGAGTTCATGCAAAAATGTGTCATATACCAAGTGATGATTCCAACAAAATAAGTTATGTGTTTAAGGCAATTATCTTCTGTAACTTTTTAATAGATCTTAAAATGATACCTAAGCAAACAAACCATATTCAAACAAAATTGAGAAAAGCCATATATCACTCATCATTCTTTGAAATAAAAATTAAACCACATTTAGTAGAAGACTTCTATTTTTTCTTGATTTTATTATTTCTGTATGAGATGAGATAAACATTATTCAGAAAATACCTCATTAGAAGATGCTGAATTCTAGAATTAGAATAAG